TCTCCATGCCTTGTGGGTCAGGCTATTGAGCCAAAGGCTCCGGGTGGAGTCCCTCTAGCAAACCTCCGAAGCACAACGACCACCTCGCGTGCGATTGCCCACCAATGCAATCGTATGCCTGCGCGCAAAGCACTCAGCATCGGGTGCTTGAACGTGCGCACACCACTGGACCGGAACTCGAGCAAGCGCCCGGAGCGAAGCACTGCGCTGGTCGCGATGAAGCTGGCGCGCTACCACATCGATATTGCGGCGCTCAGTGAAACTCGGTTTGCTGCGCAAGGTAAGTTACATGAAGCAGGTGCTGGCTACACATTCTGTGGGGTGGAGAACGCCACCTCAGCACCACGTGAACGTGGGGTCACATTTGCAATATCCGATCGCCTGAATGGCCAGCTGTTGGGTGAATCAACGGGCATCAGCGCGCGACTGATGACCGTTCGCCTACGACTCGGAAGAGGTAAGTTTGCTACTTTTCTAAGCACGTACGGTCCGACCATATGTTATCCTGCTGACAAGTGTGATCAGTTCTATACTGAGCTATCCTCCGTGATACGGTCTGTGCGCAGGAGCGACCGACTATTTCTGCTGGGTGATTTCAACGCGCGCGTTGGGCGTGATGCATCGGTGTGGACAGATTTTATCGCTGCGCGTGGCATTGGTTCAGCGAATGCGAAAGGTGACAGGCTGCTCTCACTGTGTGCCACTCACGGCCTGACGATCACGAACACTCGGTTTGCACTGAGTGCGAGTGATATAGCAACTTGGACGCACCCACGGGGTGGTCACGCTCACCTGCTTGACTATGTCATCGTACGTCAGCGTGATATGCGTGAAGTGCGCATGACACGTGTACTGCGTGGAGCTGAGTGTGGCACTGATCATAAGTTGGTTCGGACCAAACCGTACGTATATTTTCGTAAATCTATGTATTGCACTCCCGCCGTGAATCGGCGTAAATGTAACATTCTCTCCCTCGGTACTGTGGCGAAACGTACTGAGCTGGAGTAGGCGATGCCTGCACGCCTGTGTGATGTGGATTGCATAACCACAGTGGGCGACCTGTGGCACCACACTCGCGACCAGGTGACAGCTGCTGCCATGGAGGCCATGGGGCGCGCAAACTGTAAACGGCCTGATTGGTTTGATGACAACAATGTGACGATTGGCGCATTGGTGAGAGAGAGGAATGCAGCATTTGATGCACGTATGGCAGACCCCAGTGACATGGGAAAGAGTAGTCAGTTTCGCAAACTTCGACGGCGACTGACCCGAGAGCTCCGTCGAATTGAAAATGCATGCTGGACGGAGAAGGCGAAGCAGATGGAATGCTACGCCGAACGCCGTCAAAACAAGGAATTCTTTGACTCCTTGAAGGCGCTGTATTGACCGAAATTGGAGCCGCTGAGGACGCTGATAGATGGTAGTTCGGGCGCTACCTGCACCCAGACTGCAGACATAAAGCAGGTGTGGCGGAAACACTTTGACTGTTTCTTGCACAGACGTTCAGAGATCGACTTGTCTACATTGAACGGCCTCAAGCAGCACGATGTGAAGGCGGATCTGGCGGATACGCCGAGACTGGATGAGACGCAGAGAGCACTTGCTCAGCTGCGAAACGGCAAATGTCCTGGAGGTGACGGGATAATACCTGAAGTATTGAAACACGGTGGACCCGCGTTGTTGACTGCGCTGCACCACTTGGTGCAACACGTGTGGATTGAGGAGGAGGTGCCTGCTGAACTGAAGGATGCCCTTTTGCTACCACTGTACAAGGGCAGAGGTAGCAAGCAATGTCGCACGAATTATCGTGGCATCAACTTGCTGATTTGTGTGGGTAAGGTGATAGCCCGAATCCTGCTTAATCGCCTCGTCGGTCAGATTGTGGAACCTAATGTGGCGGAAGCGCAGTGTGGATTCCGTTCGGGCCGCAGCACTATAGATATGGTGTTTGCGGCTCGTCAGTTGCAAGAGAAGTGCAGAGAACGACACCAGCCATTGTACTCGCTTTTCGTTGATTTCATCAAGCCATTTGATACGGTGAACCGCGAGGCATTGTGGCTGGCGTTGGGTAAGTTCGGTTGCCCGCGTAAGTTTGTAAGTTTACTTGGATGTCTGCACGGTGGTATGCGAGCGAGGGTGCAGCTGAGTGGACAGACCTCGGTTGATTTTGCAGTTGTTACTGATGTGAAGCAAGGCTGTGTCTTAGCTCCTGGCCTGTTTAATATCCATCTTCATGCAATGCTGTCTTGTGCTTTTGATGCCACTTGTGCTTACGGTGTCCGTGTGGAGCACCGTATTGATGGTGGGTTGCTGAATATCAGTCGTTTCGGTGCAAGAACTCTAGCCTGTAAGACAACTGGCCGTATGTTGCTGTTTGCTGACGACGGTGCGTTGTTTTCACACAGCGCAGATGAGTTGCGGCACATGACTAGTGCTCTGGCTTCGACAGCGGCCAAATTCAGGCTCACCATCAGCACAAGCAAAACTGTCTGTCTCTTTCAGCCGTCACCGGAGGTCCAATCTTTAATATTGCTGCAAATCAGCATGGGTGCTGAAGTATTGGAAGCCACCTCCCGCTTTTGCTACCTTGGAAGTGTGATATCGACTGATCAGCAGCTACACGTTGAGTTGCGTATTCGCGTGTCGAAGGCGGAAGCGGCATTCAGGAAGCTTGAGTACCGAGTGTGGCACAACCATCAGCTTAGCATTGGCACGAAGCTGATAAGGTACAAATCCATGGTACTGTCCGTTCTTCTATACGGCAGTGAAACATGGACGATGTACCGTCGGGATGTGCGATATCTGGAGCGGTTCCTTCAGCAGTGTCTGCGACGAATTTTGCTGATCGGTTGGGGCGCCAGAGTAGCAGGCACGGAAGTGTTGCGCCGAAGTGGGATGTATGCAGTGGACGGCATACTTTTACTGCGACACTTGAGATGGCTCGGTCATGTGAGCCATATGGATTCGGCGCGGATACCGAAACAACGTTTATACGGTCAGATGAGTAGTGGGAAGCGGCATGCTGGAAACCAAAGTAACGTTACCAGGACATGATTAAACTGAGCCACACACGTTCTAATCTTGCTTGCAGATCGTGGGAATCGAAGGCGGTTGATCGTGGTGCATGGCGCGACCTAATCACGAAGGCAGTTGCTGAAGTGCGGGCGAACGCCTTCATGCATGCAGAGAAGAAGCGGCAGT